TTTTTTTTTTGTTTTTGTTTTTAAGGAATAAGGGAAGCTGAGCAAACTTGAAGGCAGAGAAAGAAGATAATGATGGCTAACGTGTCTACAGGGCATATTATGTGTCAGCATCATGCTGAGGGCTTTATACCCCTCACGGCATTTAATCCTAAAAAATAAAAAAAAAAAAATCCTCAAGGTAAAGCTCTTTGTCATCCCATCTTTGAGACGAAGCCACTAATACTTGCAAAGTTCATTTGCCCAATGTTGCAGAGCTAGCAAATGGCAGAACCAAGAAGTGAATTTTGACTCAGAATCTAACCATTATGCCAGAAGAAAAAGGAAAAGCAATACTATAAGAGCTGGAGGGGCAATTGTTAAAACTGAAATCTAAGAGTGGAGAGTCTCATGAGGTGATGAGGAGTTATGCCCTCAGTTTAGAAATCCCACCATGGACCACGTCTAACCTGCACTGTATGGCTTATCGTGGTCACAGACCATGCAGTTGATACAACCAAGACAGGCGTAATTTGTGTTCGGTATGTCTGAGGACAGAACTGTCCTCTTGTGGGGCTGGTTCATTCCAGGTTCTCTGAACCATCCCCCATTTGTCATCTTGTGATTCAAACTCCAAGGAGTCTGGAAATCACTTCCTGCTCTGGATGCCCTGGAGCCATTTGGTGCTAGCATACCTCAGAACTCAGCTATGTCTCTCCTTCTCCATCATGTCCTGTAACTCTCGTAAGTAAAGTTCATGGACAATTTGGAGGCGTTGGGGCTCAGGGAAGAGGAGCCCAGTTCCTTCACTGCACTAATCTGTATTCCTCAGTCAGTTCCTGTGTAACAGGCAGCTATCAATCCACCATCCACACTCACTTACTCATTCTTTCACCAGACATTTATTGCATGTGTATTTTGTTATAGACCACTTCTTAGTGCTAAAGAGATCAAGATTAAAAGACAGACATCTCCAGGAGTGGGAATGGTAACTCCACAGTAGCCAGGGCTGTGGAAGAATTTAATAATCTTAAAGATGGGAAACACTTAAGGTGCTTGTTGGCTGAGTGAAAGCAATGAAGATAAGAGACTGGAGAAAAGAAGCTGAAGCAAGCTTGAGGAAAGATAAGTAAAAGATAGAATCTCCTGACACCCAGAAGAGAGGTGGCTTCCACCTGATTGTGAGTAGGAAGAAAGACACGTGCTGGCGTTCACCAGGCATGGCTGCCATTTGAGGAATGAGGCGAGGTCACCTGCAGAGTCTGCTGGCCTGGGAGTTAGGTGTCAAGGGCGAGGAGCACCTTCAACATTTGAAACAGTTCCTCAGTGGAAGAGTGGTGGCCAGAAAGGGGGCAGTTGTGCGTCATGGTGGGCCTGTGATGGGAGCCATGAAATTCTAATAAGGCCAGTTAGTATAGTCACGTGATGTCTTTCTTATCAGCACTTCATTGTTCATATACCCATTAAGCCACCAGAGAAGCCCCTGTTTTGATGGATCCTCCTCCTCTTTTAACTAGAAGGATATTTGTTCCTAAGAGCTAAAATCCTTGGGTCTGAGCCTTCACGTCCTACCTGCAATTATTCCTAATTGACTTCTGGAGGATACAGAAGACAGTTGGAGCCTGTTTGTGACCCACTAGTGAGACAGTCCGGGTTGCCCCTTGTACAGCCTCAGGCTGAGTCACCTCCCCTGCAGGAGAGGAAGTCAGAGTGTCCGGTCTAGGAGAACACCCCTCCCTCCACTGCACAGCGATTTAGGTTTTAGGCTAGCAGGTCTTCCCTAGTTCGTGGTTACTCCATTGGGATTCTTGCTGACAAGTAACAGAAGTGAGCTCTAATTTAAGCAGACAAGGAATTTATCAGAAGTATGTTGGGGAGCTCACAGGCTCTTTCGAAGGGTTGGACATACAAGCCTGGAAGGGGGGAGGGTACAGCTCAGTGGTAGAGTGTGTGCTTAGCATGCACGACATGGGTTCAATCCCTAGTACCTCCTAGTACAAAAATAAACAAACCTAATTACCCGCCCCAATTTTTTTTTAACTTAAAAGAATTTTTTTAAGTTAAAAAAGAAAGAATGTCAGATGTCCATTACAGTGCTATAAATACATGAATGAATGTTCCAGTCCTGTTTTGGGGAAAGTTCTAGGTCACTGGACGCTGAGTTTCTCTGTAGTTCTCTACAGCAGATTATTTTAAATTCTTTGAATCTTCCACACTTTGAAGGATGGTCTCAGGAAATGTTTGTGGAGTGAATTCGCAAGTGTTTGTTGAGTATATTCCTTCAACACACACGTACTGGGCGTATACTCTGTGCCAAGCACTCCATCAAGCGTTGTTTGAAGGATCAAAAACGCTTTTACAGAATAGGAAAGAAACAAGCCGTCAGGAACAGGGACTAGGCGGCCATGCAGGAATCAAAATACGAAGATTAGGGTCTCGAGTGAAGAAACATAGCTTGGGTATGAAGCAGGGTGGGTCTGAACCTGCTTCCCAAGTTGAGGTTGGGGATAGGGTGGGTTGGGGTGGAAAAGGCTGAAAAACATAGCCGGTGAATTGCAGAGATTGGGAATGTGGGGGGTGGGAGGAGGCAGCTAGAGCGGGCAGCCGCCTGCTGGGAGCGGAGTGGGAAAGCCTCACCTCCAGCCCCCCCACCGTGGCCCTCATCTCACTGGGCTAGAAATTTCTAAGCAGGTTTGGCTTATTCATTTATAGGGGACCCATAGCACTTGTCGCCTTTCCTCTAAGTGACTATTATATGCTCAAGTCATAACAAGCAGTCAAGTGTATTATATCTGTAAAGCTCTTAGAACAGCACGGTAAGGACTAGGTCACCATTTATTAAATGTTTAAAAATAAAGCAATATTCTGTTTCTGATAATTTCACAAAATATATTAGGGATTCCACTTGACTCACATTTAGTCAGATGCCAGGTCTATTTTTTCACCTTTTCGCCTTTGACTTTTTTCACACATTTACTAGGTGCTTTCTGTGTTCTAGGCACCATCTGTAGCCCAGCAGCTCCGCGCCCCCTCCACCCATTCACAGCTGGCCGATCCTGAGTGGTGCCCGCTGAGCAGACTGGCCTGACTGTTGGCCCACTGGCTCACCTAGGCTTTGATCCAGTAATTTCTCTCTATCTTGTTAACCGCTGAAGTTAAAAACTAATTTTAATCCAGCATTTTCAGTTGTCTTCAGTGGGAGAATTGGTCCAGTTCACCTCCTGTGATTACTAGAGATAGAAATTCTACTTTATATGGTTTAAATCACATAACCTCATGAGAACCTCAGAAGGAAGCCAGTGAGGTTTTTCTCCATTTTATAGGTGAAGAAAATAAGGCAGGAGAATTTAGGTTTCCTGCCAAGGGTCAAAGCTAGTAAGTTAGTGGCCCCAGATTTGAACCCAGGCAGTCTTAAATTTCAGACCCTGTGTGCTTAACCCCTCTGTCTACTCATTTTCTTCTTTTCATAAAACAGCATTAACTGCTTCATCATCAAAAGCATTCTCTCTTTTTTTAAACACCTTTATTGTGGTCTGGTTCCTGCACAGTAAACTACACATATTTCAGATGTATAATTTGATGAATTTTGATAGCTGTACACACCCATGAAACCACCACCACAGTCGAGACAGCTAACATTTCTATCACTCCCTAAGAGGTACAATTTTCAAGTTCCCAAGTTTTCCTTTCCTACCCTCTTTACCCCCTGGTAACCATAAGTTTGTTCTCCATGTCTGTGAGTCTGTTTCTGTTTTGTAAATAAGTTCGTTTATGTCCTTTTCTTTAGATTCCACATATAAGTGATATCATATGGCATTTTTCTTTCTCTTTCTGTCTTGCTTCACTTAGAATGACAATCTCCAGGTCCATCCATTGTTGCTGCAAATGGCATTCGTTTATTTTTTGTGGCTGAGTAGTATTCCATTGTGCGCACACATATGTATGT